GTGTGGAAGTGCCGATTAGCCGTCGAACAGGGCGTTTCTGAGGTGTTTAACGTTTCCTCTCGAGGAAGTTCTCCATCCGCAGCAGCCATTCGTCGACAAAGTCATCGTATAACGCGCGAAAAAAGCGGCCTTATCGTGCCTAACCGCGCGCCCTTGCATTCCCCATTCGATCTTCGATCCTTTCCTCTCGTCCCCCCCGTCCGCGGGACTCATCGTTCGGGTTTGACCCTCTTCGCGTTATTTTTCGCCGATCCGTTTGTTTTCTCGATGGAATGCAGCCACGCTCGGCCGTCGCCGATTGCGCGCGTATACACTTGTCAATTACAAGTGAGCCAATTGCAGGTTGCTCGGTCGCGCAGGAGGACGGAGGTGGCTACCTGAACAAGCGGTAGAGCGAGAATAGCGGCGCCATTGTGAGAGGATGGAACGGGAACGAGAGAGTCGGAGGAGCGGCCGGCGAAGGGCAACGGGGAAAGCTTCGTGAAATAATTAAGCCGTCCGCGTTGTCAGCAGATTTGACAGACACGCGCGCGCGTCATTGAATTTCTTTCTCCTTAGGTCGACGTAGGCTCAAACGGACGAAAGACACGCGATTCTTCCGATCAGCAACACGGAAAAATTACGTGGAGGTAATCCGCTTCTCTCTCCCCCCCGCTTCCGCAAGTGCCTTTCCTCGGCTTTCCCGGAGCCTCGCAGGGAGTTGCGAATGAGCGCGAATAGGCGAGTGGCTGTTTTGCATCGGGCGCAGCCGAGCGCGCAGTTTTTCCGAGAGACAAAAGAGAGAGAGAGAGAGAGAGAGAGAGACGCAAGGCGAGAAGGCGAAAGTTCTCTTCGCTTGGACGAAAGGGTCGCGGCTTATCCAAACCGGTTGCGACGCGATTTCGCAATCGACGGGAAGGGCCCTTCCGGCCCTCGTGGAGTACCTTCCTCGGCCGATCGTATCTTATCCGAGTTGACTCGTAAAACGTGCGAAACCGTTGGCAACCGGGGGAATCACGGTGCGTGTCGCGCGCGGCGTGATATATGCGTTACGCAGGTGTGCAAACGCATGCGGGCGATGAGGTATCCTTCGCGCGCGCGCGCTTTTCTCGAGGGCGAGCGAATAATGGTGTCGTTTTTACGTGAGTGACTGCTTAATCGCGCCTATCGTAACGAAACTCTCTTCCAGCGGCGACGGCGCGCGGAATTCAAACTGTCCGCTCCGCGCGCGCGCGAAGCAGCACCGCGCTGCTTCGACAAAGCAAACCGGTATCTTGATTCCGCACGGTGAATAATCGCCACATCGATTTCCGTCTCGACAGCTCCCCGTCTCTCATCTCTCCTGCGTGTAGAAAAAAGTCCGCGTCGCGGCCCTCGCGAAATTGAATTCCGAAAAATTGTGAAGATTAATCGGATCAAACTGGGAAGAAAAGTCAAGTACCATTTTGCAAAAATCGCAATAGTTGTCAAGTTATTAAATTATTAATGATCGAAAATGACCGCATCTAGAGAACTCTTTCAATTGATAACTTGGAAATTTGCGTACTTATTCGCATAGAATGGTCTAGCGATAGATGAGTATCTGAATTTTGAATCATGAATCTTGAACCTGTCGCTAGGCACAATAGCCGTCATATAATTGTAGATTAGGTCATTCTGAACAAAAAGATCCTTTACCATTTTAAGAGGCAAAAGAGCCTCTATCATTTTCAATTGTTAATAACTTAATAATTATTGCGATTTTTGCAAAATGGTACTTGATTTTTCTTTTTCAATTTGGTCTGATTGATCTTCACAATTTTTCATTTCCAAAAGATCCCGGACACCCTGTATATCCGACCCTTTTTTTATCGGGCTCTTCATATCTTGATTTGATTTGTTATCAGCGGATTACTTCCTCTTTTGATTCATTTTACCGATAAATTAAACGAGCTTTCTTTGTGTGTGTGGTGTTTCCTAATTCCGTTGATGAAAAAAAGATATTCCAAGTCCGATGTTCATAGCGCCATCTTATACACTCGAGATCGCGTTGAATTCATCTGTAAGTGCCGCATAGTCGATGAAACGATCCGCGCCCGCAGAGATGTGAACTTAAGACGATCTTAAAATACAAAAGGTCTGATTGCGAATGCCGTCGGTATTGCGCGCTCGTTCTAATCCGCGAATCACCTCTCCGGCTTACCGGCTAATAAACTCGGGTATCGTACTCTCAACGGCGAATAATTCGCGCGTCCGCGGTGAATCCGCGAGGAGGACGATTCTGTTCTGCCGCGAACAAAGGGGATTTGTCGGACGGACCGCCGCAGCGCGGTATCGGCTGTTAAGGCGACCTTTTCGCTTCACACGCGAGTCAAGTCGTCGCTGCGGCGAGGAGCGGGCGAGGGAAGGTAGGGATGATAATTTTCTCGTAGCGGCTCTCGTCGCACTGTGGGATCGAAAAAGCAGGATGATGACGTCAGACCCGCGCGAACCCGCTCTCCGGTCACTGCCGGTCGGCCGAGAGCACGCGGCGGCGCGCACGAACACACGCGCGTGCATTCGGATAGGGCCCACAAAGGCCCCCGGTCCCTCACCGGCTGATAATAATTACGGGAGGGGCTGAAGCGGACTTCCGCTCCACACACTCGATCTGGCCGCTCGGCCCCGTCGCGAGTGCGTGAGCGAAAACCACCTACGGATATTTCAGGAGAACACGCGTATTCCGCTCGGAACTTACCGCGACTCCGCCGCTCCCTTCGTCGCGGTTTTTGCACCTGAGGCCGCGAATGTGCCGAGAGGCGCTGTGATCCCTCTTGCGTGTGTGTGTGTGTGTGTACTCGGACAGTCCAAAACCGAACGAGCGGCTTCGTTATGTCGGCTGAAGTTCAGTCGCGACAATCGCCGGGCACCTGTCTGACTCCTTCGTCCTTTCCCACGAACGACGGCCTTCTCGGCCTTCGACGACCGCTCGCGTGGCGATAGGCGTGGATTGAGATTATCGCGAATATTTTAACTTAGAAAGTGTTCTCTGGAAGATTCTTGGTCTTCACGGAGAAAATATACTCCTTTCTCAATCTCTTCGATTCTTTTCAATTTCGTCGAGTTTCCTAGCAGGAACTCATCAAGAGAAATCATAAATTTTGCCGAGGAATATAAATCTTCAAATTCCTTAAGTACACATTTTTTTATACAATTCCTAAGATACCAAATTTCTCTCAGTAGACTTCAGTTGCCAAGGTGTAAGTAACGTACACTGATAGAAAAATATAGTTGAATTAACTATAATCTCACTATATTTTATAGTTCATTTTGGCGTCAACCATGTTTTTATAGTTCGCGGAAACCTGCAAAATATAGTAGAATAAACACAAATAAATAGTCAATGATTGTCTTAAATAATTGTTTAGTTACTTTTATCACATATATTCTAATTTCTCATTCACAAATATAGTGAGATTTAATATTCATATAGTTACATCTGTCATCATTTAGCAAATATTCTGGTAATATTGACCATATAAAAGAGTTACTTTACCTACCATTTTATGGATTTGTATCCATACATAATAATTTTAGTTTAACTTACTATAATTCTTAGTAAAAATATTATACAGTTGGTTATATTATGCCTATATCGTAATTATTACCGATATTATGGTAATACTTACTATAAATATGATATTTCAGACTATAATTTAGTTACTATATCATTATAGTTTCAAATATCATATATTTTTCTCTCAGTGTACATGGAAGGATAACGAATGGAGACAGGACGCGCGTCTCGGTTGGAAAAGTCCACGCGGTAATCTCTGCTTTAACCATGCCCCGCCCCCCTCCCCCTCCTCGTGTAGCAACAAGAGCTTAAGCCCTGTTAACCCGAATACTACCTAACGCGATTTCCGAGACTCGAGGTGTTAATCGGATCGCATTGCGGGACAATTGCTCGAGTCGCGGCAGCCAAAGTGTTGGCTGAGAGGCTGGACAGTCAACGGACACCTCCGAGAGTCCGCAGCGGGCCCGGAATAGATGGCCCACTGACAGCGCAAATATACGGCGGCCGGGTGGCGCGGCGCAGGTCGCCGCGATCGCACACTTGAGCGCGAGATCGGCGATTATCCGCGCACGTACGCGGCGCCGTGGAAAACATGAAGAGAAAGAGAGAGAGAGAGAGAGAGAGAAAGAGAGACGGAGAGGGGGAGAAAAGAAATAGACACATCGGTGGATTCCAGCGCGATCTCCCGCGGTTTCGAGCCATTAGCTATACCCCTCCCCCCCCGCCGCAGCGGCAGATGGAGGGCGGTTAGCGATAGAATAGGGAAAAGCGAGACACATGTTCTGTTACTCCCGGCACAAGCGGTCGCGAGAACGCGCGAACGAGTTTCCCAGCACTCTGTGCTGGCGTTTCCAGCTGTGAAACGCCGCACTCCTGGCGGAGCGCACCTGGTCGCCGCCCTTATCCGCCGCGCCGGTCCCGCATATGCCCGAGATCGGCGATTCAGCGTCTCCTAGTCCGCGATTGTCTCCGCGCAGTCTTTCTCTCTTGCTCTCCCTCGCTTTCAGCTGTTCCTCGACTTCAGCCGCTTCCCCGCGGACTCCGGAGTCCGACGCATCTGGGCTCCACCCCGGCAGACTCCGATGTTAAACTAAACGTTATTTCTTTCTTATGCTTATGGGTTGCCCGGAAATTAAGTTGTCTCATGTACCACAAGTATCTTTGCGGTAGAACTTGCCTCACTTCTCCATATTGGTGAAATGTGTCGCAAAAGTATCGCCGGCTCCCTCGATTTCCGAGACTCGCGGAGCGACGCGACCCTCTCTAAGCTGAGAGAGAAGAAGATAGATAGAGAGGAACAAGAGACTCAGTCACGGGGTGGAATCGGCGCGCTGAAAAGCCGAGAGAAAGAGAGAGAGCACGAATCGCTTCGGCACGACTGCGACGTCACCTCGAACGAGAGCGAGGAGCGCATCCTTCCGCGGCGGGAGACGCGTCGAGGATGAATACGCAAGAACAGCCGGCTCGCCGGCGGGAGCAGACTCACCTTTCGAAGTTTCTCCAATTCATTCGCGTCCGAAGTCGATTGCGCCGCCTGTCAAGAATAGAAAGTATCAGATTATTTGACAGCTGCCGCGGAACACGCGTGCCGGTGCGTGCGCGTCGCGTCGAGAGCGCCGCGGAGTACCCTCACCCCCTGCACACCCCCCGTGCGCGCGTTTGTCTTTCGACACTCAGCGGGTCCAGCGGCACAATGGCGGCGCGCGCCGGCTGTTGTTTCCGTTGTTTATTGTATTTAAATCGCGTTGCAAAATCCCGAGCCCGAGCCGTGAGCTCCGAGGCCTGACGTCGGGATTTCATCGCGCTTCGCCACCAATTTCGCAATTAGTCGCGAAACGAGAACGCGAGCGAGCGCGCGTGCGCGCGCGCGCGCTCGCGTGCAAGCGTTCAAGTACACCGCTGTTATCGCTGGCTTCGGCTCGCCGCGATTATCTCGAAACTTCGCTCCCGACAGCCACGAAGCAGGAACGCGCTCTTGCGCGCTCTTCGGCGCGACTGGAACGCGCAGGATTAGACGTTCCCAAATCGCCCGGCGTTTCCGCGTCATTTGGAGAGCTCACTTCGGGAAGCTGCGCGAACGCGACCTCGCGAGTTGACGGAGGACGGAGGATTCTCAGGCTTCTAACTACCCAGGCAGCACGAGACATCCTGGACGTGCTCGGGAGATCTTGTGCTACCTACTTAGGCAGAGAGAGAGAGAGAGAGAGAGAGAGAGAGAGAGAGAGAGAGAGAGAGAGAGAGAGAGAGAGAGATCTTGCTCTATGTTCTCCTCTGCTTCTAATTTTTGACTCTCGCCCTCTTTCGTTTTTGTCGACGAATATCTACGTGAGACTCACTCGCGTCTATCCCGCGAGCCTCGTCCGACCTTAATCGATGAGGATTACGAGCGCTACTCGGCTCGTTAATAAACCGCGAGAACTTCCTTCACGAGGTGCGCGGAGAATCTGGTGCACCCCGTGCACGTTCCTTTAGCCGAGATTACTTTCGCGCACTCGAGTGGAACCTTCGATGATGCCTAGCAGGATCTTTAACGTGGCAACATATAACGCGATATCTCCCTCTCTCTCTCTCTCTCTCTCTCTCTCTCTCTCTCTCTTATTCCCTCGTTGTTTGGATGATGTCTCGCGCGTACGCGGTTACCGTTAGCGCGACATCACGGGAGCACGAAGCGAGAGAAAAACAGCGCAAAACAGTGGAAAAGGCGTTCACCTCCTTGGGGTCTCGGCGAGAGGCGATCCGCGCGGCGCCGTTTGCCGGCTGGTCCGTGAAGCTCGCGGCCAACGAGAAGAAGCGCGCGTTGTTGTTGCCGAGGTCCTGGCTGACGACCGCGACGGCGGCCGCGGCGTCATGCAGCAACTCGTAATCCAAGGACTTGCAGTCGCGGCAGCTACCGCCGTTGCCGTTGCCGTTGCCGTTGGTGAAGGTCCGCGCGAACGCGCTCTTGAAGAAGCGACCGGGTGACACCTCGCTGCCGAGGGCGAACTCCACCTTTGGGCTCTCGGTCGTCATCGCGTCGCGTCGCGTGTCGCCGCGTTAAGCGATCTCAACCATACACGACAAGAACCGCGACACAGGGGTGACGACGGCGGGGAAGGGCGCACTGATGAGACGAGGGGGGGGGAGCGAGTGGTGTGCGCCAAGTCCAGGGAGAGAGGATCAAAACCGGAAAAGGACGTCGTTGTTAAGCGTGAGAAATCGCGTCGCGAGACATCGGTTGGTTACACACGTCGACGAGAGGAGAAACGAAAACACGGCACGATCGATTCTTCTTCTTCCTCTTCCCCTCGCAAGCGAACACCTGATTCTCTTCTCTCTCTCTCTTTCTCGAGCACGCCTCTCTTCAGGTCGTTGTTCGTCGTGCGAACGACCAACGGACGAGCGAACAGACAAAATCCCAAACAGAGCGCACGGCACGCCGGTGCGTGTCAAACTGAGCGCCAAAGCCCGCGCGCGCCGCCGCGCCGTTCATTTCTAGATTCTCCTCCTCGGAGTCGGCTGCGCATGCGGCCGAGGCGAAGGGCCCCGCGCGCGTTCCGCTTGATCCGCTTCCCGGCTGTCAAACAATGCTTCCATGCGGCAGCATGGAGAATCTCCGTTTTTCCCGACGCGAGTTTTCGCCACGTTTAACGGGCGAATGAACGATTTGTGGAGAGCCAGGTCGAGTACCGGAAGTCAGGAGAAAGATGAGGAGGGGAACAGCGACTTCAAATTTGCCGGTGTCGAATCCTCGGCTGGAATTCCTCAATACTTTGGTCGAGCTCGGGAGTTGAGCATTAATTGCTGTAAAAATGAAACAAACATTGAAAACAAGACCAAACTCCGACATTTCGTCGGACGGCTTTTGTTCCTTGCACGCGCGCGCCTTCCCCCCCCCCACGACGTGTATTTCTCAACGAAATGAGTATCAATCTTCGTGCTAATCGCAATAATTTGGCGAAGCGCACGTATCGGCTGTGAGCGGAATTTGGACGCGCGCGCGCAGGCAGAAGTACGGTTTTACCTCAATCTACCGCGCTTTTCAGCAGAACAAGGAAATCTCTCGACTGACTCGCATCGCTGACTCCGTTGTCCTATTACGCAGTTACATTTAGGAAACTGTAGGAACACGGTCGAAATGACTCGCCGCGGGCAGGATAATGACCCCCGCGTACACCTGAAGATTAGTTCCCCGGCGTTTCCCGGATGGGTGTCTCACGGGCGACTGCAAATTGTCGCTCTGAACGTCGCCGTATCTTCCAGCGAGAATAACATTACGCGATAACGGGCGGAATGTTTAACTCCTGCGTAGCGAAACCGAGTATCTCCCCTTCTCAGCACGTTTTACGTTCATTCGTTTCTGAGTAAATTGGGCCCGGCTGACGTCGGGTGATTTTTGAGCTGGTGAATCTCGGAAAGGACTTGGGGAGAACTTTGATGGTGGATGTGAGCAGAAAATGCGTTGAACTGTTAAGAAAATAGTTTATCATCAACGAACACGCGGCAGTTATCGACAAATATACATTCTTGAGAGGTACCTGAGATAAAAACTAAAACTATCAAACAATTGTGTCACTGCTTCTCCGGCGACAGGCACGGGTTCGAGCGGCCGTGTTTACTGGTGCTCGACGTGATCGTCGTCGAGCTCGCGTCCGAGACGCCAACGGGTGATCGGTAATCCAAGAAGACTCTCTTGGAAGATTTCATGATGATCGGAGACAATTCGGGCGGCTCGCCGTACTGCTGGAGCTTATCCAGTCGTTTCTGGATCAAGGGACTGTTCGTGCTGAAATTCCAGCTGTTGTTGGCGGCGGTCGACCTCGGCGTCGATAGCGACGGCGACGGCGTATGGTCAACCGGTCTCTTGTCGGAGCCCGAGACGGAATTGTATATTTTAATCGGGATATTTTTGTCCGACGCATAGCGCGTCGGCGTTCTCATGGTCGCCGGCTTCTTCTGCAATTCCACGTTGAGCTCGGCGGTGCAGCCCTCGGCGTATGCGATCGGATTCTTGAAGACAGACAAAAAGACAGTTTCACGCAAGATGAAAGACGACGAGGAAAAAAAATCGCGAGGAACAAGAGAAGGAGGAGGCGTACCGTTATCGAGTCGCACAGGCTCTCAAAGGACTCGTACAGGTGATTCCGCCGTGGATTGCGCGTGAAAGTGCTCCTGTCGGTACAATACGCCACCGGGACGTTCCAAGAAGTCATCCTGCGCCAATCTAAATTATTACACGCTACGATGGAGCCGACGGTGAGGACTTCTGCATATCCGTAACTGGCTATTCCTTGCCAAAACAGTATCGAGAGGTACAAGGAGCCGCTCGAGTCAATCCTCGGACAGGCCAAGTGCACAGCCTCGAAATCCTTCATACTCTGTGAACGCGTCGTAAATTGTCGAGTTTATTTTAAATGCATCCAATGAATGTATCGCGAGCTTTGCACGCACGCGAATTAACGCGTGAGTCATTCGGAAAGGAGAAAGGAAATTCAGACGTTCAATTATCGAGAATTTTCGAAGATGATAAGAGTCGTCGCTGAAAAGGTCGCGAATATTATTTACCTATTTTGTTAATTTATTTCATTATTTTGATATCGGAGAATTTCTGTATTAAGAATATTATTGTTAAAATATTGTTTGAAAATTATTTTTGAAAGAATAATAAAATGTCGAGACGAGGTTGATCGCGAGTGCCGAGAAATTTTTCGGTTTTCTGACATGCGCGAGACATTAATTAGCCATCTTTCCCACATCGTATCTTCCGCCAACCTCGCATTCCGATCTTCTTCCGAAAAAAAATTGGGCTACTAATCAGTGCCTCGCTCGCTTGCTCGAAAATTTTTCAGCACGTGTGATGCCCCGTCGACATCATTATCTTGCCGCAAATAATTTCCCGCCATCATTATCTTGCGGCGCTTTTATCGGCTTAAAAATTTCCGCGCGTTGATCAATACATTGATCACGACCAGCACGAGTTATCCCGTAGCTGGTGTACGAAAAGAGCCAAATACTCGTAGCGTAGATCTTCTCTCCTCGGGGACGTTCCCCGACGTTAGTGCGGCGGACGAAGAACCCTCGGCGGTGCACACATGGTGGCACACTTACGTAAGGAGCGGTGCCGACGGCGCAGACGAGACCGACCGTGTCGAATTCCCCGTAAGGTGGCGAGAATTCAGGACTGCCCACCTGGCGAAACGATGCACACAGCCGGACCGGGTAGGACGCGTCCGGCATCGTTCCCGGGTTGAAGAGCGCGCAGCGGCGCGCGGTGAGCTGCAACTCACACCCCCTGTTGTGGAAGGAACGAACAACGGACGTAGCGTTACACCTTGCACGTGACAATTTTGCGGCCGATGCAAGGCCCGTACGACCTGTTACGCGGCATTGTACGCGCGCGCGCGCGACGTTGTAATTGAGCCTTACGTGAGAGAGAAACGGTACCTTTTCCCGGCAGCGATGACGTTGCGCAGCGAGACGCACGCGCCTTCCTTGAGCGCGTCGACGACCTCCTCGCCGGGCGACCAGACGGAGAGGATGGCGTTCGCACTCCCGTCGCACACGCGAACCTTCAGCAATGGCGAGACCTGCCGCGGCGCTGGTAGGCTCTCGCGCAGCTTCGACTGCAGTTCTTGCTTGTAGCGCTCCTTCTTCATACGCAGCTCGCGCAGCAGATCATCCTGCTGTTTCTTGCCGGCGAATGCCTGTACGTAACGCCGGTAAACGTGTGCACTGTGAGTCTCCGGACAGTTCGGAGATGGCTTTTGGACACAACGGAACTCAGAACAGTGACAAATAGCCGAAGGAGAGAACTGAACTTTTAGGATTTAATAGCGAAGAAAGAGTTCTCTCGGTGGACATCTTGCTGTCCGCCCGAATTGCATCCAAAAAGTGCCCGAGCCGTTTTGAAACCCAGAGTGTGAAACCGTCAATCGATCGAATCGGACATACTTGCGTGGAGTTCTCGCGACTTTTGCCCGCCAACAGATCAGTTTCGCAGGACAGATCCTCCTCTTGAAAATCCTTCTCGGCTTTGTCGTAAAACGCCTCCGCCTTGTGTCGGCACCGTTGCTCGTACTCGGTCTGCGCTTTCTCCTCGCTCTTCGCGTTTCTCAGGACTGTCGAAGGGAACACAAGGAGAGTATAGAGGATCGCATCGTTAAAATTGGAGTATCGTGCGGCCGGAGTGACACGTGGACCGCCATGTGAATTGGAATATTGGTTAACATCATTAGTTGACCTTTACCGTCCTAAATCGAGTCTACCTTTACTTTTGTTGATTCTACAAAGCGCAATATTTTATCCAATCGTATTTTCTCAAGAATATCGACTAGAAAAGACACTGAAATAAGCGATATTATCGCGAAGCAAGTGAATTTCTACTGGCTTGATTGAGAGAAAAATTTGGGTCCGACGGGACTCACAGGTGGCGGCCGGCGTGTTGAAAGCCGAAAATCGCGCATGTACCTTACCCGATTCTCCGGACACGGTTTTCTCGTGATACAGCATCGGATACACCCTGGCGACGACGATTGTCATCTTGCCGATGAGACCGCCGTTCGGACACACGTCGCGCAGTCTCACGGATATCGGTCCCGAGCGCGGTGCGTATCCCAATTTCAAGTCCCATCGCGCACGCCTCGTCGAGTTCGTGTGCAACTTGAGACACACGTCGGCCGGTGCCTGCGCACCAGACAAGAGATCGATTTAACACTAAAATTAACAACGACTGACAAGGTCGTTCTACCAGAGCGGCCAAAATGATGGATTTTCAAGAAAATATGCACTGCAAGGGAAAATATCTATACTTTTTACTCTTTTCCAACGTTAGTCAAGCTTGACTCTTTCACTACCGATTATTGATAGATTAAGTTTTGCACATAAAAACAATTGTTTTGCACAAAGAAACAGATACAACATGGTCTGTAAGGAGAATACCTAGCATGTAAAACCCGTTGAAGCAAATGTGTTAAAAATATAGAGCGTATCGTTGTGACTTTTCAATGAAATTACAGACCTATTATTTTGGCTGCTTTGGCGCTTTTAGTGTTAAAAGCGGTTCTAATGTTAAGCCGATCCGAACGCGGAGCGGACTCGCCTTACCTCCAACGGATAACAAGCCACGTTGCAGTTGAGCAACTCAGCGCCATACACCAACAATTTCGTACCCTCTCGCACCTTGCCGGTCGACACATATTTTATCATAGCGAGGTCGATGCAGGCGGGTATATTGTACCAGCCATCGGTTAACTCGATCCGCCACTTCGACATTCCCACGCGCGGACTTTTGCCCATCTCCACGGTGGAATTAGCTACGGCGTTGCTCTGAAAACCGAAGTGCATTGTGTGAGCGCACAATTTAATTCTGTCCTTTCTGGCTGTGCTAATTTGTACTTGTCGTATCGAAAAGTAAAACAAATTTATAAGGAAAGCATAAAGGAAAAAAGAACGAAATGCAGCACCAGTTTCGCTAAAAAGAACATGGCTTCTTGTCAGCCATTATTCGTTCTCGCGAACGCGGCCGGTATTGATTTTTATGTTCTTCGCCGTTTTCACGTGTAAGCATCGTGTACGCTGCAGCGATCAGCTGGCCTTGACAATCAGCTGATTTTGACAGTCAGCTGATCGCTCTCGGCGACCGTCACCTCGGCGATCAGCTGACCCCTCTGGGCGGCCGCCATCTTCACGGTCAGCTGATCCCTCTAACGGTTTTTTACCGTCACGCGCGGATCATTTAACACTTCGATGTGATGAAAATTTAAACAGTCCATCGTGTGACTACTCGAAGATCGTTGAGTCTAAGATACGCTTGATGAATGTACTTCATGTTTTCGCGAGATCCAAGATTAACTTCAACATCTTTGCAACGGAACTTTTGATTCCCGATCTGAAGTCGTGCGTTACCTCCACGATCGACGACACGCACAGAATCATCCTCTTGGACGCGACGTCATCTTGCTCTAGGATACGTCGTATGGCCGGTCGCTGGGAGCGATCTATCTCCCGGTCGTAACGATACTTTAACTGCGCCATCACGTGCGAGGGTGTTAACGCCCTGAAACGCAAGAACGACACGCACCGAATAATTATCTTCGAATTATCCGTACATAGAATTTTCCGTACACGGAAAAATATACACTGCATTCAAGTAAACGTTGCTTGTTTTAAGTACTTCAAAAGTTACATATCCGTGAATCTACCAGAAGCTCATCATAAGCATCAGATTTATTCAAAATACATTTTCGTTTCCAGCAAGGAAATTTAATACTTCAATCAAGAATATTAAGACGAAATAAACATCACACAGAGAGTGCAAGTTTTGCAAAAATCTTCAAGAGAGAATAAACTCTTCTTTCGTGTACACGACGAGCGCCTCTAACATCAACGACGGATATATATTTTAAGACTGTTACCAGGAAAACAATCCTCGCGGAAGATAAGCATTACTCAAAAGAAGAAAATAAACCGAGTAGTCGCCAGCAGCAGAATGCTATTTTTCTCTGTGTAACATAAAGCGCGACCAGCCGAGTCAGCCAGGCCGTCTTCGCGAAATAAAGAATAAAGAAAAAGCAAGCAGACCCGTACCTTGGCAACTCAGCCGAGCCGAACTTCATCCTGTCCAACGACGCCAATTTCCACACGATCCACCGGTAATGATTCTCGATCCAACGCGCTGGAACAAGGCTCGGTTCGACTCCTGGACTCGCGAGAAAGGCGCGCAGGAACTCCCAGACCCCCACGTAGCCATTCTCGTCCATGACAAGACGCGCGCCGTCCTCCAGCTCTATCCCGCGGACGTTGCTGCGCGCCACGTCGTTGCCGTAGAAATCGGAGCAGCGAAACTTGTAGGACGCGGCGGTCGCGGAGGAGATGGCCAAGATGTTCGGCGGGATCCGTTGATCGATGAGTTCCTGGCAGGTGCGCGGCCTAGGCGGCGCGCCGTCGGCGAGGTCCCTCAGCGAGACGCGAGCTCCGGAGTTAATCTGCTTGTGGCGGTACAGGTAGCCCGGCGATTGTCTGGATCTGCGCCGACTCTTGTCGGTGATCGCGTTCTCTTGTTCGAGCGCAGCCGCCAGGCGATCCTGAAGTATCTGCGCTGACTCGTCGATGAAGTCCATCATCATCTGCGTGTCGCCGTACTCGGTCGACTCGCTCGTGCTCTCCGCCTTCTGCCGCTCCGGCTGCGTCACCCTCTGCGACTCCTCTTCGTTGGTCTTCTCACGATGAGGTGATGTCGCCATGCTGTTTGCATCTTCCGGTGACGTTCGGTCGTCCAACTGTGATGTACTCTGCTTGCTTCTGCGGTACTCGAGACTCCAGCGCTTCCTCGAGACAGGCTGCCTGCCTATGATGGGACTGCCCTCCGTGTTCGACTCGGGGAACTCGGAAGTGTCCCTCTGAGGTGAACACACGGAGACATCCATGGCGGGGTCCGCTTGGTTCCTCTCATCTGGATATTCCATGCGACTCGCCGCAGCCTCGTTCGGCGATTCTGCGATGGGAACCGTTTCGATTCTTCCGTCGTTCGTCGACATTCTGCTCGCCACGCGGAAGTCATCATCCAACTGGATCTTCATTGTGTCGTTGACGTCCATATCGGCGCTCGAACAGTCGGGGAATAATTTCCTACCCCCGAATTCATTGCTGAGACGCACCTTCTTCAAACCCCACGCGAAGCCCCTGCCGAGAGGCGTGCTGTCGTCCGAGGTCAGTTTGCGTTTCTCCGGGAGATTCGATTCCGTAGGGGAGTCCAGTTGATCCGCGAACAATGCCTGAGCCTTGGAGAAAGCCTGTTTTGAGATGCTGATGGATGCACCACGAGCGGTCCGAAATCCAACACTTGAAACTCTCACTTCTTGTTCTTTGACTAATTCGCTGTTAATATTAGCTCTCTCCGCAAGATTGAATCCCGATGGTCCGTCAAATTCCTTCGTGAACAATAATTTCGCCTTGGATAGTGCCTGCTTGGAGATGTTGATAGATGTACCAAGCGCGGTTTGGAACTCATCAGTGCCAGGAGTTTTCGCCTCTTGTATCTCGATTTCTCTATTAGAAATATTAATTTTTTCCGCAACGTCGTGTTCTAATGGCTCATCTAATTCTCTCGCGAATAATAATTTGGCTTTGAATAATGCTTGTTTCGACGTGTTGATAGATGCGCCACGAGCAGTTTGAAATCCAACGTTCGGAAGCTCCACTTCTTGTACTTTGACTTCTTTATCACGAGTATTAACTTCCTGCACAATGTTAGCTTCTAATGGTTCGTCTAATTCCTTGGCGAACAATAACTTCGCTCTAGTTAACGCCCGTTTTGAGATGTTGATAGGTGCGCCACGAGCGGTTTGAAATCCAACGTTCGGAGGCTCCACTTCTTGTAATTTGACTTCTTTATCACGAGTATTCACTTCCTGCACAACGATAGCTTCTGATGGTTCGTCTAATTCCTTGGCGAACAATAACTTCGCTCTGGTTAACGCCTGTTTTGAGATGTTGATAGGTGCGCCACGAGCGGTTTGAAATCCAACGTTCGGAGGCTCCACTTCTTGTACTTTGACTTCTTTATTACGAGTATTAACTTCCTGCACAACGTTAGCTTCTGATGGTTCGTCTGATTCCTTAGCGAACAATAATTTCGCTCTGGTTAACGCCTGTTTTGAGATGTTGATAGGTGCGCCACGAGCGGTTTGAAATCCAACGCTCGGAGTCTCCACTTCTTGTACTTTGACTTCTTTATCACGAGCATTAACTTCCTGCACAACGTTAGCTTCTAATGGTTCGTCTAATTCCTTGGCGAACAATAATTTTGCTCTGGTTAACGCATGTTTTGAGATGTTGATAGGTGCACTACGAGCGGTTTGAAATCCAATGCTCGGAGACCTTGCATTTTTCTCCTTGACTTCTCTATCACAAATATTCGCTTGCTCTGCAACATTCGGTTCTAACGGCTCGTCTAATTCTGTTGCAAACATTAATTTTGCTCTGGTCAATGCTTGTTTTGAGATATTGATGGGTGTACCGCGAGCAGTTTGGAATCCAATGTTCGACTTCATTTCTTGTTTATTTTCTTTGTTATGAATATTAGCTTCTTCTGCAACGTCATGTTTTAAAGGTTCGTCTCGTTCGTTCGCAAATATTAATTTTACCCTGGATAACGCCTGCTTTGAGATATTAATGGGTGTACTGCAGTTTGGAGCAGTTTGGAATCCAATGTTCAGATTCTTTATTTCTTGTAGGCTAGTCTTACTAGGAAGACTGGCCTTTTCTGTAACATTAGTTTCTAAGGATTCATCTGAGTCTTTCATAAATGATAATTTTACTCTGGGTAATGCTTGTTCAGAGACGTTGCTGCAGGTACTAGCAGTTGAAAGTGAAAGAGGAAGCACACTACTTTTTCTAAGACTTTCACTTACAACTAGCTGTTGACAATTTTTATTGTGCACTTTGTTGAAATTTCTCATATGCTCTGTAAGTGGTAGTTGTGGTAATGCTCCTGAGAAAAGTGATAAACGCTTATTCTTTTGTTCTATAGAACTTTTCTTGTCAAATAATTCATGATTTTCTATTTGCATTTCATCTGCTAATAATGTCTCTGCTTTAAGCATTGCTTCTTTTGAAATATTAATGGCAGTACCGTTAGCAGTAAGGAATCCTGTACTCTTGTTTTCTTCAATCTTGTTTAAATTCAAAGTTTGTGACTTTTTTCTATGGCTATTCGCAAAGATCTGTTTGCTGATATCTTGGAGGTTAGTATCTATCGTTGCTTGCTTATCGAGATTATTAATGATTAATTTATCTATACAATCAAAAGAAGCATCACTAAACACCTCTTGGGCCAAATCTGAGGTATCAGGTACATCATTGCTTAGATGGTTAAAATTCTTATAATCATCCATTTCTCGTATTTTATCAAGAAACTGAGATCTGTTATCTTCTCGAGTACTATCAATATAAAGATTGGTCATTGTAACATCTGTAGCATTATTTTGTACTATAAAATTAATATTACTCTCAGAAGCATGTGATGCTTCTTCTTGCTTATTCATAGTAGCATGTTCATCACTAGCCTCAGCTGATGTGTTTGTAAATGTAGAAGATTTAAATATACAACGTCGTTTAGGACGCTTTCGTACAACTCTAGGAACTATAATGGGAGAATCTGAAGTAATTTTATTATCTATACTTTTAGCAGATGAAATATCATCAGGTGTGTGTTGTTCAGGTTTAGGTGTTTCTCCTGTCTGAAATATGAATAATTTATGATTATGATCTACTAATGTACTACAAAGTACATATGAATATAATGAATACAACTTGTAAAAAAGATATATTACATCTGTTGGTGGCTTTGTACACAGCTGAATTGACTTATTGGCCTGTGGTGTCTCTAAATCACTAGTCCATTGTTCATTTATCTTATTAAGGAAAGGCACTAAACTCAGTGGTGTAGATGGAATTACTGCATCGCTTGGTGTTCTAGCATTAACAATATAAAACAGATCAGTGATTCAGACTGATTTAGAGAAGTCAAGATAAATTAGTTATTTGTCTGATATACAAACATGTGGTTAAGCATACATTTTGAGACAATTATACTTTATTTACAGCAAATCCACGCATGTCATGAATATACACAATAAAGTAGTCGACAAAGTTAGCAAAACTAACAAAATCAACAGAGATTAATGAAATAAGATTGAGCCTTACACTGTGTTTGAATTGTCAGTCGACAGTAAAGGTGTCTTGGATCGTAAAATTGATACATCCAAGGAAACATCAGACTTATAATTCATCACTTCGCTCTGTTCATCATCTGGAAATTCAGGTGTATAAGAGGAACAGTGCTGTTCTCGCACGTAAACAACTCGAGAAGTGTAATTATTACCTGAAAACAATTCGTCGGACTCGTCCTCGTTTGTTGTGAATGAATTTGTGACCGTCGGTCCATCATCGGGTCCAAATTTTGCTGTCTTACTCATACTTGCACTCTGTCAATTCACTTCGGTTTAACATGTGTAACCTAAGTTACCTCTTCATCAGACGGATTGCCGTAATTTTTACATAACCGACAATATTATTTCAAATAGGAACAGTAGAGAAAAGAATAATATCTAATTTATGTTTTATATCGGTTTAGAATGAATTGAAACACTAGCTACAATAGTTTACGCCACATAACTTTCCGTCGCGCGGTTGACACGATTCTTATATCGTCCATATGGGTGTCGCGATATTACCCATTGATTATTTGTTTTGAATTTCCCTCACGGAAATTCCCCGCGAATCTTGTGTTAGATAAAGAGCGAAACACGAAACTACAGCTTGATGCGTGGTATATACTTTCTGCTTGTTAGTAAATTATACGAATCGCATTACTACTCTGTAATAATTGCTAGAAAATAAGAGGTCATTTGAAATGTCAGTAAATCATACCGCATGAAAATAAGAGATATTTTGACATGCTGCCGAGACGCATTAATTAGAAGAACAAGTCTTCAAACTTGAAAATTGTATGTTGTTTGCTATATTATTTGATCGTACTACTTAAAGGTATGAAAAGTTGTCCAACTTGCAGTAGAATTATATAAGGCCTGGTCTACAATACGTGTCATAAGCTGTTAGCCGTTAGAATTGGCAAATCACAGTCGACTATTACAAAAATAATTGGCTATAATTGGTCAGTTCTTACGGCTTATAGCTTACAACACATATTGTAGACCAGGCCTTACGATTGTAATTTGTCGACAAGATCAATCGTGACTCGTAGTGAAGATTTTGGAATTACATTTTGGAATAATAAGATTTGGATCTTAATTATATGACCTGTTATGATTTCCTGTTTCTTAGTTCCAAAATCTCCGCTACGAGCCGCCACCATCTTTGCTGAGAAAGTGAGATTGTAGCAGAGAGGAAGTTGAGAGCGGCCAACACGGCGTTTTCGGCGACACCGATTTTTCGCACTGGGAATGGGTGCTATCTGCATCCATTTTGAGAGGGGAACTACGATGCTACATCCACTTTTAGGTCTCGACGGTAAAACCTGCATCTGGTGGCTGTCCGTGCTACATCCACTTTCAGGCGGTTTATGTCCGTGCTACAACCATAATAGCGTACTTGACAAGAACGGTCTCGCGCATTGTTATGCATTTGTAACATGAATTAACATGTTAACATGCACAAAAAAAATAAGAATTGAGATTGCATATGATTAATATCATGAAGATTATATACGATTTATATCGATATATAAATATATGATAATAAGATAATATTTTGTGTGTACCCAAAATTATTTTTCCAAAATATTTCAACGTTACGTTAGTATTTATTTATACTCCGGCAGGCGTTTTTTAGCACAGTTGTATCCGTGTGCATGTGTTGCATTGAAAGTGTGCGCAACGTACGTGTGCATAAACACACTCATACACACACACACACACACACACACGTGTCATACGCAACAGATAGAATCTTAGGGTATATGTTTAAACATTTTCAATTGCCGTACGTTTCTATGTAAGAATGTAGTCGGCACACACACATAGAGAAACTGCTCCCGTCTACCCGTCTGAGGTCCTATCCCTTCGCACGACTTGTTTTGACGAGCCAAGCGAAAGAGAGAATGTGTTCGCTCCATCTCGTTCTGATTCGCAACGTTGCCGAGATTGTGCTTCCCGACACACGGCCGAGACTGACGTTTCACTCTCGGCGTGAATCCAACGAGATGATCAATAGCAATCGATTTCGACTAAACTCTTTATTTTGGACTTTATTTTGGTGCCAGAAACAGGCCTGTATCTCTAGCCGTTTAGGAGATAGCGAAGGTTAAAGTTTTCCCACCTTTCTCCGTCGATATCTCCGCTTCTACTGGGAGTAGAGAGTCGTCATTTACGGGAAAATGTAGGGTTTTGAGAGGACTTTATTTTGGTGCCAGAAACAGGCCTGTATCTTTAGCCGCTGAGGAGATATCGAAGGTTAAAGTTTTCCCACCTTTCTCCGTTGATATCACCGCTTCTACTGGGAGTAGAGAGTCGTCATTTACGGGAAAATGTAGGGTTTTGAGAAGACTTTATTTTGGTGCCAGAAACAGGCCTGTATCTCTAACCGTTTAGGAGATATCGAAGATTAAAATTTCCAAGCTTTCTCAGTTGATATCTCCGCTTCTACTGGGAGTAGAGAGTCGTCAATGTAGTCGAAAATGTAGGGTTCTGAGAGGACTTTAATTTGGTGCCAGACCGAGGCCTGTATCTCTAACCGTTTAGGAGATATCGAAGGATAAAGATTTCCAGCTTTCTCCGTCGATATCCAGCCTTCCTCCGTCGATATCTCCGCCTCTACTGGGAGTAGAGAGTCGTCCATGTAGTCGAAAATGTAGGGTTTTGAGAGGACTTTAATTTGGTGCCAGACCGAGGTCTTCAGATAAACGAACGATTCGTATCAATTTTTCTTGTCTTATAAAAAAATGAGAAAATAAATCAGTACCGAAAATCCAAGACCGTTCAGTATCTAATTTTTTCACCAAATCAACGTGGATAAATGAACAATTCGTCTGAATTTTTTCTTTTCTTATAGAAAAATGAAAGGAGAAATCAGTATCGAAAATCGAATACCGAACAATATCGAATTTATTCATAAAATTAACATGGATAAACAAACGATTTGTATCAATCTTTTTTCTTTTATGGAGAAAGCAAAGACTAAAGCAGTACCGAAAACGGGATATTAATCAATACTATAAATCAGCGTTAGAAAATTGTCTAAGTGCAATGACAAGTTGTTTTCATCTTGCAGGTACTTACCCCACTAATTTACTCAACAAATTAAGTCTGATTAAAGAAAGATTCGTATCAATTTTTATTCTCTTATAAAGAAATTAGAGAAATAGTCAGTACCGAAAATTGAAGACCGATCAATATTTAATTTATTCATCAAATTAACGCGGATAAGTGAACGATTCATATGAATTTCTTTTTCTTATAGAAAAATGAAAGAGTAAATCAGTACCGAAAATCGAATATCGATTAATACCATAAATCAGTGTCAGAAAATTGTCCAAGTGCAATGACAATTTGTTCTCATTTTTCAGGTACTTATCCCTCTAATCTTATTCAACAAATTAACTTGGATAAACGAACGATTCGTATCAATCTTTTTTATCTTTTAAAAAAATGAGAAAATAAATCAGTACCGAAAACCGAATATCGATTAATATTATAAATCAGTGTCAGAAAATTGTCCAAGTGCAATGACAATTTGTTCTCATTTTTCAGGAACTTAACCCTCTAATCTTACTCAACAAATTAACTTGGATGAACGAACGATTCGTATCAACTCTTTTTATCTTTTAAAAAATTAAATTAAATTAAAAAAATGAGGAAATAAATCAATGCCGAAAACCGAATATCGATTAATATTATAAATCAATGTCAGAAAATTGTCCAAGTGCAATGACAATTTGTTCTCATTTTTCAGGTACTTACCCCTCTAATCTTATTCAACAAATTAACTCGGTTAAACGAACGATTCGTATCATTTTTTTTGTCTTATAAAGCAATGAGAAAATAAATCAGTACCGAAAATCGAAGACCGTTCAATATCTAATTCTTTCATCAAATTAACGCGGATAAATAAACGATTCGTATCAATTTTTTTTTCTTATACAGAAATGAAAGAGTAAGTCAGTATCGAAAATCGAATATCGATTAATACTATAAATCAGTGTCAAAAAATTGTCCAAGTGCAATGACAATTTGTTCTCATTTTTCAGGTACTTACCCCTCTAATCTTATTCAACAAATTAACTCGGATAAACGAACGATTCGTATCAATTTTTTTTGTCTTATAAAACAATGAGAAAATAAATCAGTACCGAAAATCGAAGACCGTTCAATATCTAATTCTTTCATCAAATTAACGCGGATAAATGAACGATTCGTATGAATTTTTTTTCTTATACAGAAATGAAAAAGTAAGTCAGTACCGAAAATCGAATATTGATTAATACTATAAATCAGTGTCAAAAAATTGTCCAAGTGCAATGACAATTTATTCTCATTTTTCAGGTACTTACCCCTCTAATCTTATTCAACAAATTAACTCGGATAAACGAACGATTCGTATCAATTTTTTTTGTCTTATAAAACAATGAGAAAATAAATCAGTACCGAAAATCGGAAACCGTTCAATATCTAATTCTTTCATCAAATTAACGCGGATGAATGAACGATACGTATGAATTTTTTTTTCTTATAGAGAAATGAAAGAGTAAGTCTGTACCGAAAATCGAATATCGATTAATACTATAAATCAGTGTCAAAAAATTGTCCAAGTGCAATGACAATTTGTTCTCATTTTTCAGGTACTTACCCCTCTAATCTTATTCAATAAATTAACTCGGATAAACGAACGATTCGTATCATTTTTTTTGTCTTATAAAGCAATGAGAAAATAAATCAGTACCGAAAATCGAAGACCGTTCAATATCTAATTCTTTCATCAAATTAACGCGGATAAATGAACGATTCGTATGAATTTTTTTTTCTTATACAGAAATGAAAGAGTAAGTCAGTACCGAAAATCGAATGTCGATTAATACTATAAATCAGTGTCAAAAAATTATCCTAGTGCAATGACAATTTGTTCTCATTTTTCAGGTACTTACCCCTCTAATCTTATTCAACAAATTAACTCGGATAAACGAACGATTCGTATCAATTTTTTTTATTTTTTAAAAAAACGAGAAAATAAATTAGTACCGAAAATCGAATATCGATCAATACCGTAAATCAGAGTCAGAAAATTGTCCAAGTACAATGACAATTTGTTCTCATTTTTCAGCTATTCATCCCTCTAATTTACTCAACAAATTAACTCGAATAAACGAATGATTCGTATCAATTTTTCTTGTCTTATAAAGAAATGAGAGAATAAAGCAGTAGCGAAAATTGAAGACCGATCAATAGTTAATTTATTCATCAAATTAACGCGGATAAATGAACAATTCGTATGAATTCTTTTTTTCTTATAGAGAAATGAAAAAGTAAGTCAGTACCGAAAATCGAATATGGATTAACACTATAAATCAGTGTCAAAAAATTGTCCAAGTGCAATGACAATTTGTTCTCATTTTTTAGGTACTTACCCCTCTAATCTTATTCGACAAATTAACTCGGATAAACGAACGGTTCGTATCAATTTTTTTATTTTTTAAAAAAACGAGAAAATAAATTAGTACCGAAAATCGAATATCGATCAATACCGTAAATCAAAGTCAGAAAATTGTCCAAGTACAATGACAATTTGTTCTCATTTTTCAGCTATTTATCCTTCTAATTTACTCAACAAATTAACTCGAATAAACGAATGATTCGTATCAATTTTTCTTGTCTTATAAAGAAATAAGGGAATAAATCAGTATCGAAAATTGAAGACCGATCAATATTTAATTCATTCATCAAATTAACGCGGATAAATGAACGATTCGTA